CTGTTCTGCAACATTCCTCAGATACAAGGTCCAAATAATGCTGGGCTTTATTCAGGCATTGTGCCCTAATGGAGGTGATAGCAAAATCGTCTGCATAGGAGATGATCTTGCACCCCAGTGGGAGGTCTATGTTGAGAATGCAGGACATTAAGGTGTTAAATAGGGTTGGACTGAGTACCCCACCCTGTGGTGTCCCATTTTCTAGTGGTCTGTGCTGTGATAGGTGACCCTGGAACTTTACTCTGGCTGTTCTGTTCCAGAAATAGTCACCTATCCAACCTAAGAGCTTTCCTCTGATTCCTTTCTGGATCAGGTTCTCCTGAATGGTAAGAGGACTTGCCAGTTCAAAGGCCTCCAGATCAAGGAATACTACCACAGATGTGCTAGTACTGATTGTGCTCAAGAGCGTAGCTATGCTGTGCGCTGTGCTCATCCCCCTGGTGAACCCATGAAGGTGTTCGTGTGGGGGTCCCATTTTCCATAGGAGCCGGTTTAGTACCATCCTCTCGGCCGTCTTGGCCAAACAGCTGAGGAGAGAGATGGGGCAGTACTTCCCCGGTTCCTTTGGTTTTGAGATGGGAACTATGGTAGCCCTCTTCTAAATCTGTGGTAGAGTGGAAGATTCCCAGGACTTGTTGATGAGTTGCAGTAGTGCAAGCTCACCTTGTAGTCCCGGGTGGGAGATAATAGGGTACATGATCCCATCAGAGCCTGGGGCTGTGTTGGAAGTGAGTTTCTAGGCTTTTCTTAGTTCCCTCAGAGAAAAGATAACATCTGAGTTATTGGGTTCTGCTGCCCTTTCTCTGATCTGAGCAAGTCTGTCTGGTTTTAGGCTTTCTTGTCTTGCCCTCAGCTCGGCTGGCAGACTGTTGCTGCTAGTTCTCACAGAGACCTTGTGCATTGCCTCTGCTCGAGGGTCATGATGCGTGAACCTCGGGACTTAGCGGCTGGTAACTCGCCTGACCCGTTGTCATAGCTCTGTAAAAGTGGTTTGGTGGTCAAAGGACTCGCACCATTCCAGCCACTTTTCCTGCCTGACTCTTTTGGCAGTTTCCTTGACATCCCTGACAGCCTCCGTCAGCAGTGTGAAGTTGTCAGAGGTTCTTTGCCTTCGGAATAGTTTTCTGCACATGTTTACCCTGTGGTTGACCTTCCTAATCTCGTCGTTAAAGTACCAGGCGTCCTTGTAACACCTGGACCCAGGCCGAGTTTTAGGTATGGTCTGTGAGGCTGCTTGGTTAATGGCATCTATTAGTCTGGTTTCATGCACTTCCACATTTTCGGCTTGTGTGGGTACTGCTTCTCAGACAGTGGGCCAAGGCGTTCTGGAATGCCTGCCAGTTGGCCTTGTCTGTTTTCCATCTTGGATTTGGTAGTGGGATTTCGGCTGGGCCAGCATCCATGAGGGTAGTAACAGTGCTGTAATGGTCACTTGTGACAGTCTCATCAACACACCAGCTAGTCCTCTCCACCAGAGTCGCAGTGACCAGGGTGAGGTCTAGGACCCCTCCTCTGACATGCATTGGCTCTTGGGTATTGAGGAGAGCGATCTCAGGGAACGTTTCAAGCATGTAGGATATGTGAAGGCCAGCCGCATCCGGTGCCCGGCAGGGATTGGGTGGTTTGCATTGAAGTCTCCCCCTATGATCACTCGGTCGTGTGCAGCAGAAGCACAGACCTGGCTGATCTCTAAGCCACTACAGCCTGGCCGGTTGTACACATTGTACAGTTTGAGGGGCCCCCCAAGCCAGGTGAATCTCGACAGCAAAAGATTCAACATCATCTCCACTGTGTGGTGCATCGGCTATTGCGGAGCAGGGAATTGTTGCTTTGACAAGGGTGATCAAGCCTCTTTTGCCAGGTGTTTGTGGCAGCATGAAGACATGATACCCTGAGAAGCGAACAGTGCCCTCTGTTCGTGTCTCCTGGAGCTTGACAGTGTCAGTGTTCCTTGATCGCACTACTGCTTGGAGAATGGCATTCCTTCCGGAAAAGCCATTGATGTTCCACTGTAGGATGCTTAGGTTGTGTGCCATGATGTTACTAGATGGTAGTTACGTCAGAGACATCGTCGTATTCGGGTCGAGAGTCGGAGTCTGACAACTCCATTGTGAGGTCCTCGTTGGTTGAGGGGGTTTCATCTGTTATTAGGCTATCCTTGGGTCCACTAGGGGGTGGAGAGCCTTTGGTAGGTCTGACTTTGGTTACTTTGGCTTTTCTCTCAGGCTTTGTATCTGTGTTTCTCTTTGCTGGTCTTGGCTGGGCAAAGACAGCGTGCTCTGGCTCTGGCTGCACATATTCAGCCTGTTTTGGCTCTGCCTGAGTTGGAGTGGGGAGGGGAGTCTCGTCCTGGGGTGTGGCAGGTTTCACTCTTTCCAGCTTTTTTCCTTTCAGAACTGCAACAGTCTGGGTCATTGCCGCCATGGCGACCGTGACTGCCGTCTCTGAAACAACTATCCAAAGGCTATTTCACCGCAGTGAGGGAGGAGGGGTCCTGGACCTTTTCAAGGAAGCTTCATCGGCCCTCAAAAAGCAGCCACCCAAAGGCTGCTTTGCCACAGTGAGGGAGAGAAGCAAACTTTCGAGGTGGTTCCGGTGGTGGGACGGGAAGGCTGTGTTCTGTCTAGCATCAGCTATTGTGACAGAGGCCTTCCACCTACTGGACTTCAATGTTTGGAACCCTTTTGCTCATCCCTCAGAAGCAGCCACCCAAAGTTCCCTCAGTGAGGGATGGAGCTCTTGCACTTTTTCCAGAAGGTTCCTTTCATCCCTCTGGAACAACCACCCGAAGGTTGTTTCACCACAGTGAGGGAAGAGAGGACCTATACCTTTTCAAAGTGATTCCCTCTGAGACAGTCACCCAAAGGCTGTGTCACATCAGTGAGGGAAGGGAGCTCCTTCACTTCTACCAGGCAGTTCCTCTCATCCCTCTGAAACAGCCACCCAAAGGCTGTTTCACCACAGTGAGGGCGAGAAGCTAACTTTCGAGGCGGTTCCAGTGGCGGGACGGGAAGGTGGTGTTCTCTCTAGTAGCAGCTATTTTGACAGAACTTAGGCTGAAGGCCTGCCAAAGGGAGAGGCTCCTACCTGCCTATCATCCTAAACGAAAAAACTAGAGTGGTAGCCATCAGATGGTCTGCCAAACCAGTCCCTAGCAAATAGAATGGAAACTACGAACACTGTAAAGCAGGCACACTAAGGCCCCCCCCAGACACAGGGTCTGCCCACATCCGAGCATGCGCCCGAAAATGAGGTCCAGTTCACCAGAAGGTGCGCAGAGAGTTATCCTAATGATGAAAAGTTCTGTAAAGGAAATAATAGGCTAGAGGGCACGAACCTACATGCAGAGCAAGCAAATAGCGTCGCGGCAGCAACGAGGGGTGGACGCCGAAGCATCGCGGTAATGTGTAAGAGCTGAGGCCGAGTTTGCCGGGGGGCAAAATTCTCGAGAATGAGGGATTACGGTAGTCCTCTTCGCATTATCGGCTGGCTTGACGCCAGCCACTGCGCCACGTCGGACGCCCTTACCGGTACGATCCTCCCATCACTCTGGATTAGCCAAGCAAGGCTAATTCACCGCAGGGAGAGAAGAGAGGAGTGTCTTTCCAAGGTGGATCCTGTGGCTGGAATGATACGAAGGATAAGTCCGATTTGCGAAGCTGAGCCTCGCCTGGGCTATGAGGGGAGCCCGGCCTGTGTCGACTAATGTCGCCTCGCTAACAGTGTGGCAGCTCGTGCTGTCTCAGCTTTTGTCCTTACCCGCCGTGGTGCCCAGCCACAGCAGTAACCCCCAGGCGACAATTGCAACTTCTCACGCCTGGGAAGCTGACACGTTACCGCTGTGTTAGCCTGAAGGCTAATGATACGAAGCCCTTTGCTGCTTTAACTTCCTTCCCCTCCCACTTGCTCCTTCCATGAGTCACACAACTTCACCCACGCCTCATATCATTATCTTTCCATAGCGCAATCGTCCCTCAATCTAATACTTACCCTCATCTCACTGGTTCCGGATTTCCAATACGTAACATCTGCCGCCTGCACCCTGCCATGACTGTGGCTCCTTTGTCGTAAGGAGTGGCAACACGCGAGCGGGGGAGATGTCATGGCCAGTGTTGATAATCATGGCCAGTGGTGAGATCGCCAGAGCACATCTCCAGCCGCTGACAGGGAGAAATCTCTAATCGACGCGGGCGAGGGAGCCTCTGATCAGCGATCTCACTCATATTTCACCCTCGCAATCTCCCGGTTAGCCGAGGGCGGCACCTTTGCCATGGGCGAGAAGTCGGTACCGCCCCGACAAGCTGCCCTTACCGCTCCCAGCCTCCCCCGTTATCAGAGTGCGCTTATCGTTCGTTCGTTCGCAACGCGGTGGCACGGGGCAGGTGAGGACATACGAACGGAAGCGAGGGGAGGTCGGATCAGGTCGGAGGGAGGTCAGATTAGGTCGGAGGGTCGGGCGGACTGAGTGCAGGGTGGCCGGCGTACAGGAGAAGGCGGAGGATGTGGGAAACGAGAAGACTGTCGGCAGGAGAAAAGCCGCTGTTCAGGTTGAAATTAGGCAGCAGTTTTATTAAGGAGGATTCCACCAGTCTGCAGGCGTGGACGTCAGCGGAAGGAAAGACAATTCGCGCCGCTGACCAGTCCATCTGATGGCCTGTATCCCACTGATAACAGAAGAGAGCGTTGTTGTTGTGTCCCCCGGACACAGCGTACTTATGTTGAGACAGGCGCTTAGTGAGACTGGCGCCCATCTCGCCAAAGTATTGTTTGTCACAGGAGGTACAAGGAACAGCATAAGTGCTCACCTTCAAGGAAGAGGGAGGGCTGGTGTGGACCAGGTCACGACGGAGAGTGTTCACCTGGCAAAAGATCAACCTGCAGTTGAGAGTGCGAAGAGGGCGGCGGAGAGAGGAGATCTCAGTGTAGGGCAGGCTGAGGACGGGCGAGTGAGGAAGCCCATAGAAGTGGGAGAGACGAGTTTTGATGACCTTGAACTTCTGGTAGAGGTTCGCCTCGGGGAAACGAGCTGCTATCCCCTTCAGGCGACGGTGGAAAGTAGCAGTAATACGTTCCCGGGGGTCGCTGGTCAGGGGGTATAGGTGGAAGCGTCATCCAACAAGTCATGGGCCTTCTGCAGGTAGGTAGAATCCTCCTTAATAAAACTGCTGCCTAATTACTAGTGTAAACAAACAAACAAAAAAACAACAACAATAATAAGCTCATGCTGAGAGTGGCCTATTATACAGAATAAGTGATATTTTGTTGACAGGCAGTATTCACAATTGCATCATACTCATCATTATTAAACATGTCTTCTCTCTTGATTCCAAACTATGATTAACTTTGCAATCACCATGCATTTTAGATTATCACATGGAAGAATTAAAAATGTTGACACGTCGACTCTTAAAAGAAAATACGAAAGATATATACATAAAAACATGTAAATAAGTAAGGAAATGACATAATATTTATTTGAAGACAGTAAAGCAGGTTAATTCCCTCTTCTGTCTTGTGACATAAAATACGACTGATAAATGAATCTTGTAATGGGTTGAGGTTTTAAAATGCAGGCTTTTAATTCAACGGTATTTTTTATTGAAAAGAATAGTGTAGGTGTGGGTGGGAACTTATCATATATGTATGTGTCTGTGGGTGCGTGTGTAAAACCGCATAGACACACACACCGGCGTAGGGGCATTTAAAATTTAGGGGGCTGCAAATTTTCTGCCCGAGTGAAAGAGGAAGAGAAATTTCACCTACCAGAAAATTTGTGATGAATCCCACCAGTGGCGTAGATAGAGGGGGTCGCACAGATGAAAGGCCTCAGTGTGCTATGATAAGATTTTTAAATCCCCTTCTTAAAGTATCTATGTTACATTAATATAACTTTTTACCAATATCTTTTTCGCAAAATGGATAATTTCCAATTTCTATGCCCATTGCCCAAAATTGCCCGAATTCAACCAGCATTTACCCGACTGGGGGGGCTGCAGCCCCCCCAGCCCCCCTGCTGCTACGCCTATGGACACACGCACATATGATATGATATATAATATATTTATATATATACACAATGTATATAGATATGTAATATACTTACACATATACAATATATATGAATTTATACATATACATATACATTATATATATATATATATATATATATATATATATATATATATATATATATATATATATATATATATATAACACACACACACACACACATACATATATGAATATATACAGACAGACATATATATGGGAATATTTTTCTTTTACAAACTAGCAAACAAAAAATCGCTGGAATACTGACTCTTCAAACGGTGGCGAGGATATAAAGAAATGTCAACAATTATGGCAATTTATTTTTTACAGTACTACAAATAGAATCAAATGGAGAACTTTTTAAGTCTTGCACTAATACAGACAAGCATGTAAGACATAATGATTCGTACAGACACTAGGGAAGCCCTGATAACTAGTGTAAAGAAACAAAAAACAATGATTTGCACAGGCACTAATGGAACCTTGCTAAGTTATGTTTACACGAAGAAAACACTTGATAGCTTGCACTGACGATAAGGAAATCTCAATAACTTGTACAAGACATGAATAGAACGCCTGATAACCTTTACAGACAAAATGAAAACCTATTAATTTACGTAGACAATAAGAAAACGAAGAAAATCACTTAAGAGAATCCAAGGACGTGGACGACAAGGAAAACCATCCTGAAGACTCGCATGGCCTTCCGGAGTCGTCCTTACACGCGTCGCTTGGCCCTTATGAAGTCGATGGGTCTAGGAGGATCACAAGGACACGGTGGGAACGTGCAGTTGCATGGGTATGGAGGGATCAAAGGCCCGCTTGGAGGAACTAAAGGAAGAAAGCAAAACAGAACAATAGAGCGGCAGAAGGGTTACCGGTGAGGCTAGAAAGGCTTCGGGAATGCATCATGGTGACTGTATCAAAGCAAGATAAAACAGCAAACAAGGCAAGAAGACAAGGGATCATGACGTACAATGAGGCGGGAATCTGCCTTGGGGTCGCGCTTCTGTCGCCACCATCAAGGATGACAACCTTTGGGATAAAGAAAATCAGTATTAATGAATGATGGACTAAAATCAGACTAAAAGACATGTATATACATACAGCATTACACAAAAGCATAAAATGTACATTTGTATAAATACAAAAGCTTGCCTATACTAATCATATTCACGAATAAACCAAAGATCGCATTAACACAAACAAAGTCAACGATATAGACACCACACGGGATAAAACAGCAATAACAAAAAACAAAATAATAACAATCACAACAACAGTTCTTAAAGCAACAATCACTTTAGTAAACGCAGTACATTAATCCTACTTACAACAAGAAAGTCAGACCGATCCACTTCATCGTTGAATCCTTCCCTGTAAGCACTCGAATCGAGAATGAAGGACAGTAGTATGAACTAAGGACAACGTCTGGCACTGCTTTTATAT